GCCACCTCTCGGAGCGACGCGCAGCGTTGCACATCGAGTGGGCGGCCGTCATCCACGAGAAGGCGAGGAGAGTAGGGCGTCGGAGTCTGCACTTAACCATCGGGCCACGTGGTAGCTGCCGTCCGAGCGCGGCCTCAAGCGCAACGCGAAGTCGAGGGCAAAGAAGATCATGAGCGAGCGCATCCCGATGTGCCAGGCAACCGAACGCACGGCATCTCCTCCCACAGGGGTGCAGGATCCGCGAGGAGATGAGCCAGCCGCCACACCAGGCGCGGAGCGCCGCCCACGCCCAGGGGCAGGGGCAGCGCCTGAGGAGGCGGCCGACGTCGTCCCACTCGATCACGTCGATCAACTCAGGTCTCGTTCCTGCGAACGTGAGAAGGCGCCTCCGAATGTGATCGCGAAGAGGAGCATCGCTGACCGCAACATCACGCATCGCCAGATGCGCAGCCGGCTGGGGACGAGGACGACCACGAGGAGACGGGGCACGGGCAGCGTGGGCGGCAGGGCGACCACAGGCGAGCAAGTCCTCCCACGGCCCAGGCGGCGGGCTCCCGACAGCAGCAGCGCGAAGGTTCTCCACCAGAGCGGGGGAGCGCCAGTGGGCGGGTAGCACCGCCCAGAGTTGAGCATCAGGAGCGACTAGTCCGCGGCACACGCCTCCGCGCGCGATTGCAGGCTGGACAGGACCTCGCTGTACTGAGGGAAGGTGACCAGAGCCGCCCTCGGCAGCGAGGCGGCGTTGAGGTGGGGCCACCGCACCACGCGAGGCCCGCTCAACTTCTCGATCTGGGGCCACGCCTCGGCCGTGAACGCGCCTAGAGCCACTCGAAATACCTGTGCCAGAACGCCCATCTCCAGGCGCAGGGCATCCCGAGGGAGCCAGCAGGATTGAACGATATAAGAGAGTGTTGTGACAATCCTTGGGTTGTAAATGCTCGCAGACATCGAAGCAGGAGTGAGGTCTACACTAAGAGCACGAGCCCGAAGCCGGAGTTTGGTGATCGGGTCCCTCCAGACCTCTGAGAATCAACCGCTGGACCAAGCCAGACACCCAAGTACAGGAGGGACTCAACGATCTCGAATGAGGCCCAAGCAGGGACAATGCTCCCAATACAGTCCCGAAGACGACGCCTCAGGCTGTCGCTGAAAGCCTCAGATAACGGAACAAGTTTGCACTTCTGTATCTTAAGAGCGAAATTCGCATTCTGGTCAGCCACTGTCATCGCATCGTAAACCTCCCTCAGATAATTGGGCGCCGCTGAAAGCCCCACCAATATCATCGGCACACGCACGGATAACCCCAGACCCTTGCGAGTCGATACGAGCGGCTAAGTCGACCAGGAAGGGCGGGGAGGCCAAAGCATAGAGTGAGCCCGATAATGCACATCCTTGGACATCCCACTGCGGACCCAATACAGATGCGCATGTTGCCCCGCCGTAACTGCAATACCCTCGATAGCTGAGTAGAGGAACGAAACGAGTATCAAGAAGGCAGGCGGCAGCTGGAGCGAGGAGAGGACGAGCATGAGGCAGTCCTGGTTCAGGGAGAGGAGGATCGGGATGACTCGGACGGCAGGAGGGAAAATGTCCTGCTGGCGGCGCCCAGCTCCAAAACATTCAAACCAAAGTTCCCCCTGGGAACGAAGCCTCGCTGGCAATCAGGAACAACGTGATCCAGCACAGGTCGCATAGGAAGGTTCATGGTAGCAGCTAGTATCTCGATACAATTACGGAAGCCAAGGACACGAACTTTGTCGGGGGAACGCGTGCACGAGCCACTCTGCAGCCCGTCGCCATCGATGTTTTTTCGGGGGGAAGGTTTGAATGGCTTTACTCGCAGCATCAAAAAGCACCTGGCCCGTGGAGACCCACTCGAGGCAGGCCCAAGGGGGCCTCGAGACCAGGAGGATCGGCCTGCCAGGCCGCATATGGGAGCCCGTCTTCACCAGTAGCCAAGTGCCGAGCACGAGCAAGGACCGACTTCATCATCTTGGGCGAAGGGGGGAGGTCCCCGGGGGGGATCTCACGGATGCATGGCGTCGCCGCCGACTCGCCCCACGACTTCTTTGAGAATACAAGGGCCCGGAACTCACGCAGGCACATGAGCCTATCCTTGGGCGTGGACGCAGGCGAGAGATTCGCAGAGGTGACCGCGGTGAGCGAGGCCCGCCGGTTGAGAGGCGACCAGATCCTCGCGCGCCTCTCCAGCGCACGCAGCTGGGCCCTGAGCTGGAGGCTCGCCCTCAGCCTCGCACTGCTTGCGAAGCTCGGCGCGCGCAGTAAATGCCGCCTTGCAATGAATACACTTAGAACAGGCCAGGAAAGACTCGGGGTGGCGCAATCGTACCACAGCATACTCAGCCACAAGGAAGTCGGGCGTCACGGCATGAGAACGGAGTAGTTTTGCCCCGAGAGCGAGGTCCTGCCTCCAAACACACCGAGCAATCGACCGTGTTAGCTGAAGAAGAGCACGCGGATGGTGGGGATGAGCACGAAGGAGCCGATCACGAGTCTCACGAGCGGCGATGTGAACCAGCCCCCTGCATCGCTCGAAGCGGCGAGGGGGGAGAGACGGGGTAGGTCGGCACAATCGACGAGCGCACGCAGTCGCTGGCGATAGAACGAATCCTGGAACACACGACGGTCGATCGGCTGCTTGCCTGCGCGACGGGGACGCCTCGGCGGGGTAGCGAGAACAACTGCCACACGGCCCGACACAAGAGTATCTGATACTTCAGCGGCCGCGCCGACGGTGTTGACCTGGAGAAACAACTGACATAGCATCCACTCAGGGCACGAGAGGAAGAGACGGCCGATGCACGATTCAGAATTGCTGGCTTTCTTCATAGTGGGAGGGCGAGGTGCTCTGCACCTCAAGCAGCTCGGCAAGCGCGCGGCGCCAGGTGGACGCCTGCGCATGGCGCCGCCGGGCCGCGCGGCGGACCGCAGCCTGCGGCACGTGCAGGACCACAGCCTCCCCCGACGCGAAGTTGACGATGACGAGACGCTCGGCGGGGCCCCTGGCCGCGAAGGCCCGAGCACCACGGAAGACCCGCACCACCGCCGCGACCTGCACGGCGGTGAGCTCGCGATTGTGGACATTGATTATCCCGGCAAAGCAACCTAACAGCGATGTGTAGAAGCATACCTGAAAGCATTCCCCTTAAGATTCAGATGAACTCCTCCTCCTCTTCCTCCTGCTCGTCCTCGTTCTCGTCCTCCTCGTCTTGCTCGTCCTCCTCCTCCTGGTGCTCTCTCCTCCTCCTCCTCCTCCTCCTCCTCCTCCTCCTCCTCCTGGTGGTCCTCGTTCTCCTCCTCCTGGTGCTCTCCCCCCCCTCCTCCTCCTCGTCCTCCTCCTCCTCCTCCTCCTCCTCCTCGTCCTCCTCCTCCTCTTCCTCCTCCTCCTCCTCCTCCTCCTCCTCCTCCTCCTCCTCCTCCTCCTGGTAGTCCTCCCCCTCCCCTCCTCCTCCTCCTCCTCCTCCTCCTCCTCTTCCTGGTCGTCCTCGTTCTCGTCCTCCTCGTCTTGCTCGTCCTCCTCCTCCTGGTGTTCTCTCCTCCTCCTCCTCCTCCTCCTCCTCCTCCTCCTCCTCCTCCTACATACTCCTGTGGTCCTCGTTCTCCTCCTCCTCCTGGTGCCTTCCCCCCCCTCCTCCTCCTCCACCTCCTCTTCCTCCTCCTCCTCCGCCTCCTCCTCCTCCTCTCCTCCTCCTCTTCATCCTCCTCCCTCCTCCCTCCTCCGTCCTCCTCCTCATCCTCCCCTCCTGGTAGTCCTCCACCTCCCTCCTCCTCCTCCTCCTCCTCCTGGTAGTCCTCCCCCTCCCTTCCTCCTCCTCCTCCTCCTCTTCCTGGTCGTCCTCCTCCTCCTGGTCGTCCTCCTCCTCCTGCTCGTCCTCCTCCTCCTCCTCCTGCTCGTCCTTCTTCTCCTGCTCCTCCTGCTCCTCGTCCTGCTCCTGCTCGTCCTCGTCCTCCTGGTCTTGCTCGTCCTCCTCCTCGTCGTGCTTTTGCCCCTGCTTAAAATGTGGCCCAGGAATGGGAGTTCTGGGAAGTCGAAGAGCACGAGGTTGCCTACAGTTGGCTACGGGCATTCAACATGTGGCCCGGGAATGGAGTTCTGGGAACTCGAAGAGCACGAAGTGGCCTACAGTTGGCTCCGGGCATTCAAAATGTGGCCCGGGAATGGAGTTCTGGGAAGTCGAAGAACACGAAGTGGCCTACAGTTGGCTCCGGGCATCCAAAATGTGGCCCGGGAATGGAGTTCTGGGAAATCGAAGAGCACGAAGTGGCCTACAGTTGGCTCCGGGCTTCCAAAATGTGGCCCGGGAATGGAGTTCTGGGAAGTCGAAGAGCACGAAGTGGCCTACAGTTGGCTCCGGGCATTCAGAATGTGGCCCGGGAATGGAGTTCTGGGAGGTCGAAGAGCACGAAGTGTGTGACTGTTGGCTTAAAACGATCTCTGCGGCACCCTGTCCGGCACCCGCCCAGACCCCCCTGTGGAGTGATCTGTGGGCTCTTTTGAGACCACTAGAAACCTATCAGTCTTCGCTGTTAGGTAAAAATGTCGAGCTGGACGTCCGCGACCTCGACCATCACGTGGATGACACGCCCAGCCACCAGTGTTACAGCGCGAGTTTGAACAGGATGACCACCCACAGCACCGAGAGCAGGAAGTAGGACCGCCACACCACCCCGCACCCGCTCCTCGGGTGCGTCGCCACAAAGTGAGGCGTGAATTGTGACCGAGGGGTCGATGCTCCGAATGAATACACTGTGCTGGCCAGCATATTGCCGAACCTCTTGAAGAGAGAGACAATACCTTTGCCGATACTCAACTCAACTTCTCAACGTACATCCTGTTGAGCGCAGCCTTAGCCCCTGCCGCTTGCAAGGAAGCCCTGGCATTCCACATCACTACACGTAGTGGAGGAATAGCACCACCAGGTACAGCAGTAGAGCATGTGCAAAGTCTCGCAACGTCAAAGACACCACTGGGGCTCAGCTGGCGGCGCCACGAGGCGACGCGTGAGCTGCACGAGGTTGTTCTTGCACAACTTGCGCTTCTGCAGTGCCGCTGGGCCCCGCATGATGGCAGCTGGAGCTGCGCCTGCAGCAACCTCGACACGAAGGGTCGTGTCCCATCCGACCGAGAACGCGCCGCGGTCGCGGTCGCTGAAGAGACGAATGGCGGGGTGGGCCTCGGCGATGGTGGAGCGACAGCGGCGGAGCAGCATTTCGGTTTTGATCTGATGAGGGCTCCTGTCGGGGCCGAGGTGCATGCGGGCCTGCGCGGCGCCGGGCACTTCAACGTGGAACTCCTTCCACAAACCATCCACACGAAGACGAGAAAGAACACGAAGTGCCTTGCGCGAGGCAACGGCGACGAGGCCGCCGAACTTGAGAATGAACTTCTTGCAGGGCGACTGCCCCACTGGGGAAACGTCGTAGTCCGACTCAGGAAATAGGAGCTCGCCGAGCCACTCTTTGAGCGCCGCGCACACGAGCTGCTTAGTGGTCGCCGCTTGGCACATGATGACAACAGCCGTGGCGTCGACGTCGCGCTCGGATCCCTGCGGGACGGCGAGCGGTGGATGGGGGCGCTGCTCGGCAAGGGTGAGCTGATCGCGGAGCTCGCGCATCTGTTTCTTGAGCTCGTCCACATCTCCTTCGATAGACGGAATACGACCACCATGACCTTGTAGAATTGCGTCGAACCACGCCAAGAATCTGCTGATCGAACAGCTCAGGTTGACCCGCGAGTTCGCTCCGAAGTTGGCCAGTAAGGGCAAGCATCTTCCCATTGGCCGAAGTAACGTGGTCGGTGACACATACCACGACAGAGTTCGCCAGCTCCTTTTTGACGCCCTCCAGTGGAATCGGGAAGAGATCCATCCACACCTGTCGTACGTAGTCATCCGACATGTACTCATCCTCGGTCTTCTGGTCGCAAGCATCAGCTGCGGCAGCGCGCTTGCGAGGAACGAACTTGCCGAACCTACTCGCAGGAGATGGGCCACCAGTAGGAGCAGCGCCACGGCCACCCTTGCCCGCGCCGCCAGCAGGCGCAGGCGCAGGCTCCTGTGAGGCGAAGGTGGGGCAGACGTCGATGGCGGCGGCGTCCTGAGACGAGAGCAAGTGGGCGGCAGCGGCGGCCATGGCCGTGAATCTTGAGGCGATCGGACCGACAGGAACGGGAAACGCCTCCGTTTACCCACAGACCCAAGCGCAGGGAGGATGGACCAGAAAGAGCGCCAGACTTCAAGAAGTCTTGCCGCGGACTAGCGGTATCCGCTTGGCTCCCAGGGGGAAGCTGCATCTTCAGCAAAAATGGCGATGGAAGAAAAGGAGGAGAAGGAGGAGGAGGAGGAGGAGGAGGAGGAGGAGGCGCACACGCCTCCGCGGCGACCGCCGCCGCTGCCGCCCCCACGGCCACAGGCTCCAGACGCTGCTCCTCGGGAAGCGCGCGGCGCAACGCTGGGCTGCGCGTCCCCTGGGTTCCGCGGCCTCCTCCTCATCATCCTCGTCCTCGTCCTCGTCCTCGTCCTCCTCCTTCTCCTCCTCCTCCACCTCCTCCTCCCCCTCCTCTTTCCTCATCCTCCTCCTCCTCCTCCTCCTCCTCGTCATCCTCCGCCTCCTCCTTGTCTTATTCTTCTGAGTATGATAAATGTTATGCCTCTTCGTAGTAGTAATAAGTATAGTATTATGAATAGTATTATTCTTCTTAGTTTTCAAACTATTCTTCTTAATATCATAAGTTCCCCTAGTAGTAGTATTTATCACATTCGTCTTCGTATTACTAGTATTGGTATTAGTGTTCCTCCTCATCCACCTCCTCATCCTCCGCATCATCATCGTATTCGTCTGTGCATTAGCCTTCGGCTTCGTATTCTGATTCGTGTGAGTAGCATTATTCGTATTAGTACTAGTCGTAGCATTCGTAGTATCACTATTATCATTAGTAGTAGTGCTCGTATTAGTCGAATTCTGGTTGTTCTTAGTATGGTTATTCATATTTTGTGTTATGGGTATCAGTATGTGTCGTTGTGTTATT